TGTTTTATTTGCGTTTCCATTCGCCAGTCGTCGCTTTGTGTAAATAGATGTAAAAATTGAGAAAAACGTAGTGTTTTTACCTTGTTTTTGTTTGTTTGTTACCTCATTTCAATGACCGTCTCCATGTTACCTTCAAACCCAAGAGACCCGTTTAATAATTTATGAATATGCTAATCTGAAAGGGGAGGAGCTCTCTCACACTACTTGGGTTTTGCATTCGTTCCTTTATTCAGTCCATCGGCATCACAACTATCATTCTGATTCGAATTATTGGTGTTGTATTTCTAATTATTATTGTTATTATATTGAGTTTGTGTCAGCTGTACAGTACTGTGTTGAAAAATTATACCTGATGCAGAGTCTTATACTGTATGTGTCTCTTTTCAATAAAAAGCTTCTTAATATAATGTTCTCTTTTTGATTTCTACCCTTTTATTTTGTGTTCTATTTATTGTGAGATGTACCAAATTACATGGGTTCAAGGAGAAAGAAAATACACCCACAGTAAGTAACTGTAATATGTTTATTCATAATATTTATATTGGTTATACTTTATTTTAAGGTGCCATTGTTACAGTGTAATTATACATTTAAGTACTGAATAATATTAATTAACAACATGTACTTACATAAGGTTAGGTTTATGGTTATTGCATGTAATTATGCATAATTTTGTGCTAATACTATAGTAAGTACATGTAACGTGTAACAAGGACACCTTCAAATAAAATGTTACATTTGTATTATATATTTGTATTTACACAGTATCAGTAGGCTATATACAGTAAAATATATTCATATTCAGCATATTAGAATGATTTCACTGAAGACTGGAGTAATGATGCTGAAAATTCAGCTTTGTATCACACAAATAAATTACATTTTAAAATAGAAAATAGTATTTTCAAATTGTAATGATATTTTACGATATTAATGTTTTACTGTATTTTTGATCAAATAAATGCTTGAGACTTCATTAAAAACATTTTAAAATAAGTGTTTGCAAACTTTTGACAAGTACTTCATATAATATTTAAACATCAATTATGTATACAATAAGTACGTGTAATAATATAAAAGTATTATTACGCATTGATGAGTAGATAGATAGATAGATAATATTTGTATGTAAGCTTTTATATAAATGTGTATTTTTTATTTAAATAGATAATTCATAATATTTATTTATTTTACATATACTTTGGCTTTTTCTTCAAAGTATCTCTGTAGGTTTTTACTTTACAGATCTCAAATACAAATCAACTGTGTTTCTCTGAAAATGTTCAGGCAAGTAAAGTTGATCGCACACATCCATGTATGTTTTGCGCTTCCCGGACGCCTAGTTAGGGTTTATCAGCGGGTGCGGTCCGCTCTCTGGCCTCCGCGGTGCAGATGAAGGCGTTAAAGCCGGACCCTGCCGGCTCACTGTGTCTCTAATGAGATCAAGATCCTCTAATCCCCTTCTCATCCTCTCCCTCTCAGGAAGAGAGCCGCAGCTCCACAAAGCATCCAAAGAGGGGATGCAGGGCTTGATTCGGCCCCCACAAAAGCCCCCTGACCGGGAGGACGAAAGAAGCCTCGGCGGCCCAGGAAAACAGATGTAATTAAAGAGATTAGACAAGGCAGAAAGGCAGAGGGAGGAAAAAAGAGCAATCTATAGAAAGAGGAAATGTTTCGTGGTTGAGAGGGGAAGTGGGAGCGTGATTATGAGTTAGTGACAGGAAGTGTGTTTGTTTTCTTATAATTCCTTTCACAAACATTTGCAGCTTGTAAGCTGTTGAAGGTTGACAGGCTAAAGGAGCCATGGGAAATGAATCCTTAAAATGTCAGTGGTGGTCCAGAACCACGAAACCCTGAAGCATCTTGTCCAGATCTACTCTGATCATCTCTCATCATAAATCAGTTCCACTTAGAAATCCAATGAGGCAAAGCACTGGTTCAGTGCATTAACAGAGCTGTTCATCTATCATGATGTGTGTGTGTGTGTGTGTGTGTGTGTGTGTGTGTGTGTGTCCCTCTCAAACACACAATAATGGCATTAGAAATGCTAGAGAAGCCCTGAAATGAGGCGTGAGCTGCACCATCATGTTGTGATGATAATCCAAATGTTCAGAGAGAAAGAGCTGGAAAATAACATCCTCTAATCCTGGCGTACATAGATGGGTGCGTCATCACATTTTGTTTCAATCTTAAATTTTGTTAACATCTGTTAAATCAGTGTCTTAAACTTTGAGAGAATCCCAATACAAATTAAGGCAGATAATAAATCTATTTCTAAATTGGGTTATTTAATGTGACGTGCAAAGAGTGCTGTACTTTACACCCAATTCCAAGAGTGACACTTCAAAAAAAAAAAAGCAATTTTAAAGTGCATTAAATTGCGCTCAAAATGGTTGTGCCCCGTCTTCATTTTACTGTAAACCCCTTTATTAAAAATGGCCAAAATATAGGAAATTCAGTTCAAAATAGAAACCTGTATTCAAAATTATCATGTTTTTTTTTTTTTGATAAAATATTTAATTTAATATATTGCACATTTATTTAATATATAAATGTATTTGTTATACATCAAATTAAACAAAAATCTTTGGATGATGCCTGTTCTGTCATTTAACATCCATTGACATGATCAGGAATTACTATATTCCAGACATGAAATTGTAATTACTTATATACCTTAAACGTTTTTTTGTCCAATAAATCCTTTATATTTTACAGCGAATCTGTAAATATGATATATATTTATGCATGACAGTGTTTTCATATTGGTAGCTTATTTATAATTGTTGTTTGGTGTTACATCTCACAGCACTCTCCCCTATATACACAAACTGACTGCTTACCGCTCATTGAAAAACCATATTTAATTATTAATAGCAGTTGTGCATGTTGCTGTAAAATAATAATATTGGCATTTTCCCGTATTAGCCTAATTATATTTATGAGGGTAAAGAAGCAAAAATCAACATCTATAAACTACACTGCTTTATTGTGATAAATGATCTAGATCTCACATAAATCACAGACATAGTTTGTTTATAACTGGTAAAGGATTCAATAAACTGAATTAGGTATTTGATGTTTTATATGTAGGTTTTCTGTCAATATACAGATCTATAAATGAAAAACAAAATCATAAATCATATTTATGATTACAATAAATGTGCCATAGTTAAAAATGTTTTAATTTAATAAAAACACGCCTGTTAAAATTACTTTGAAAAATTGTTTTATATTACAAAAAGTTCAGATGTATCCTTGTCTTCCTCTTATTACTTTGTTGTTTAATATAAATCTGAGAGAAACTTCTCAGCATATGTGTGTTTCAGTCATCCTGCAGCCAGTGCTCTCCGTCAGGATTAATCATTGGAGGTTAATTTGACGCTGTTAATTTAGTGCAGGAGGGACATGCTGGAGTGAAAAGCTGAGGCCCGAGCCAATCCCCCCTGGGCCCATTTATCTGTCAGCCACCACGGCCAGCCTTGATTACAATTTGCAAAAAAATTCATTAGAGTTAAGGCAATTGTCAGATCTCTCTTTCTCTCTCTCTCTGTCTCCCACCACTGTTCCTCTTGCAATGTCTTTCTGCCCAGGTTTCGTGTTTCTCATAATGTACATGAATGCACTGTCTATTTTCCAACATCATCCAGACCAGCACATTTCAATTGTCTAACTGCTGGTGTGTGTGTGTGTGTGTGTGTGTGTGTGCATGTGTGCGTGTGTGCGTGTGTGTGTGTGTGTGTCAGTGATGATGAGGCACTGATTATGTCTGATCTATTTCATTATACAACTATAAATCTACTAACAATAATTCAATTCCTCTGTTAAGAAAAATGTGTATTCCAGTTCAATAATGAAACTTCAGCCTGTGAACCAATGCAGTATTAATAACTTTTTACACACATTACAGTTGACTCTTCATTTACAAAGGTACACGAAGGTATTACACATTGTTATTATTAGTGTATACATTGTAATTAGTATAAACTAATTAATTACATAATGTTTATAACATGCACGCACTGTAAGAATGTCTTTTTTCTCATTTACCAAGTACTTACCAATTTCCACTTGCTTAAAAATCTTAATTCTTAAAAATCATATTAATAATAGGGTAAATATGTTACAAATGCTACTTATATTAATTATATTTCAATAAATAATATACTTATATGGTTGTTATGAATCTGTAAAGTTTGGACATTCAAAAGCCTTAATTGACATAAGTAGGTTATTGTTTTCATTAACAAAAATTCTAAACTCGTTTATAATCTGTCAGATTCGAATTTGAACGAGTGTGTATAAATGGTTAAATCTGGCAGACTAATATATTTCGTGGAGCTTTTATGCAGACGCAAATGCAAAATATAAAGTTGATATTATATATGGATAAATACAGCATTAAGAATGAATAAATAAAGCATCAAGTAATTAAATTAACTACAATTATCATTATTTTTTAAAGTCATTATTTTATTTTATAGATACACTTTGTCGAAATGGGTTTTAAAAAATATGAACATATATAGGCTATAGAAATGTCAAGAGCTGCGATGTGTAAATGAGATTATTGTATTGTAAACAATTGCGTATACCGCAGAGGCTGTTTATGCGAAATGATATTTGATTTGCGTCTCAAGGTTTCCCGACAAGTCCCGTGTGGGCCGAATAAGCTCGTTACTTTTCTTCCTATAACACGAGGCAGGTCCGGAGATCAAGGCTGACACGCGGCTGTGTTCACACACCGTACTGAGGGTCTCTCAGCCTGACCCTGAAATCAGCACCGCGTTCAAATCATTTCAGATCATCTCTACTAACAGGGCAGAAACTGCGCGAGCACAAATCCGTTCTGCTAGTGCAGTAATATTATTAGAAATTATAATAATAATAATTGTTATTATTAAATGCTATTTCAAATGATACAGAAAAAATAGACAAAAGTTGTACAAATAATGTAAAATAAAAAGTAAAAAAGAAAAAGCTTGTTAAAACGATCCCACTCAAACCACGACTAGATTTTTGCCGGTGGACGTGGTGTTCCCGGCCCCATTCCCGCCGTGGACGCCATCGTCCAGTCCTCCGTTGGCGTCTCCATCTTCCTTCTGACACATGGCGTTACCGGGCCCGTTATCATCGGAGCTGTAATCTAAATCACTGTCCATGGAGAAGCTTTCGTCTTTCCTGTGACACTCATCCTCCTTCGTGTCGTCTTTGTTGTGACCTCGCACTATGGGAATGAAATAAAAAGCAGATTTAATTTGAGAACTGCATGAGGCTATGAGAATAAAACATCTAAACAACAATTCGCTGTGGGTAAAAAGTTGTGTTTATTATTTTTGAAAAGTGTGGCTGGAATACAAGTTGTGTTTTCATGAGAATCTTATCTGGTCTTGTCTCGCAACGCGTTCTTCCTGTTTATTGCAGCCACTTTTACGCGCAATTACGCACGGTGATGGATCCCTTAGGAAGGCTGTTTGTACACCTCAAAACAAGACTTCTGAAACCGGCTTAAAGGTTTTTTTCCCCCTTCCACGTCTCTTTCGATTATTTGTCTTTTCATCTCATTTCTATTTTTCTGAAAATGTCATGTAGCTACATAAGCCTACCATATATTTTTTTTAATAATTTTTTTTTTTTCAGTATCAGATTACACCTTTAGCTAATGTCCATTTTCTTTACGTTGCAGTCATAGGCTACTAAATGTTGGACTACATTTATTTTACTCTGCATACATATAAATGATCCAGGTGACAGTGAATTTTGCTTAGTTTTATGGACATTTAAACACCGCTGGCCCTCCGATCCCTCAATTAAAATGAGCTAATTTAGTCATTGATGGCAGCTCGGCCTCAGGCGCTATTCCCTGAAAACTTGATAATTCACGTGTGTTACACTGAAATTCTTTAAGCCACAATCTTGACATTTTATTTCCGGAGGATTTTATATTATTATTTCTGTCCCACATTCCTGTCCCTCATCGGTGCGACTGGGTAAATTGAATTTAGGTGACACAATTAATTTCAGCGTAAAGCAGACCGGTTAATCATACCAAGAGAAGCCTGCACAATTTGTTTCTAGAATGCAGAATAAAACGTATGACATGTTAAGACGTAGATTAATAAATAATTCCAATAATTTCTATATTATATATTTTTTAACATTTTGAGAAGTTTTTAAATATTAGCCTATTATATATTTTTAAGAGAATCCAAAACCAAGTCGGACAAGTAACGCAAATCTATTCAGAATGCGCACTGAAAACAAATGCGTGAAGAGTTCTGCAGGCTGTTTTGGTCTCACCTGTAGAGGTGTGCACGGACTGCGAGTCGTGAAATGACGGAAGGGTCGCTGAATCTTTCGTTGGAAACGTTTTCCCATTCTCTCCATCCAAACGAATATCCTGAGATTTATCGAACATGGAGTGAATACACTGAGAGCCGAGCTTCCTCGCCGCGTCCTGGTGCTGCTGGGATGGCGAGGTGGAGAAGCCGCCGGGTAACGTGGCCATCAGCGTGGATGTGAGCGCCATGCCCTGCGCCAGGCTGGAGCAGAAGCCGCTGGGTAAGCCCGGGATCGGGTGGTGCGGATGGGTCGCGGGGAGACCGCTCTGAGGAAGAGTTGGAGGAGGTGGTGGAGGAGGCGGAGGTAGCACCACTGACCGATAGGGCATAAACATGGGATAGCCCGTGTACACGAAATGTCCCGGACTGGGCTGCGGTGGACCTCCGATGAGCGAGTCAATGCTGAACGCAGTGGTGCTTCCCACCGGACGCTGCATCATCATGAACGGTGTACTGAAAGCTGCACTCATATGATCTTATACAGACAGTTTATGAAGTCCTGAAGTCTGTGGGAGAAGCTCTCTCCCCCGTGCTTCTCAGATGAGGATGTCACTGCTGCACAGTGTCATACACTGACACTGGTAATCCTGTGAACCACTCTCTGTATGCGCAGCACATAAAACCGTTGCATCTGTTTCGACTTAGTTCAGTGCCAAACTATCTTTTTCGTTGCAAGAATAGAGCGAGACAAGTGCACTGAAACGCAAATCCCTTGCTGAGAAATATCTGGTCGAGCATCTCAGATGAGCTTTATCGTCCTCCTTTGAGTTATTTCAGCGTCCTTGTCGCTTCTGCTTGGCCGCGTTTCATTTCGACCTGATGGAAGTCACAATAAATTGCTCCTCGCTCGCAGCATCAGCTGTGATCATCTACTGAAGTGTGAGTTTGAATTACGCTCCTTCGGTTTAAGCGTCTCCACCACGCGCTCTGGCCACGCCCACCGCGACTCCGCGCTTGCTATTGGTCCGGTTTCATCCGTTTATGTGGAACTGTCCTAACGCGCTCTAGAGCCGCGAGCGTTGCTCTGACTGCTGTCTCTTAAATTAGAAAGTCACTAACACAGTCTCACATTCCAAAACAGTCAAAACAAGAATCATGTGAGATGTGATCTAATGTGTATTTTGGCACTGCAATTGCATTTAATAGTTGTGCTAATGTTTTTCTTGATTCCACTTAAAGTGCAAACCACCCTTTGGCCACAGTTCTGAAAAGTAAATTTGTAAATGAAAAAAAATAAAACATTATACAAAACCAATAAATGTCAGCTTCAAAGAGTATTAATAAAGCAATGCATTTTTAAAACATTAGAAATTCTTACATATTTCTAATTTTTAGTTAACCAATGCAGACAAGCAACAAATATACCCCATTAAACATTCTCAAAGCTATTATGTTAATATTAAACATATATTTCAAACAGATTCAATCTGCTCCGCATGAAGACATGCATGAATCTGAAACCTGAAACTGAAAACACACAGTATTATTCTCTGTTACAGTACAATGTAAAAAAAATACATCAATATGCAGGCTAAATTATATTTCTAAAACCATGAAAAAACAGGGGGAAAAACATCATAATGAAATTGTCAATGTTTTTGGTGAGAGGGATTAAATCATGAATTATTCAGTGGGATTGCTGATCAATAAATGTGTCTCCATGGCCCACATAATTAAAAGGAATGCGTCCGTTTTCTGTGTTCACGGTGGTGATTAGTCCTAATCTTTGGAGACCTTCCTTCCCTTCGTGCACCCTAAAAACCTTGACACCGAGCCCCCACCCCTGCCTCCACGCCAAATCAAGGGCGATCCCCTCACCCCCTCCCCAGGGTCACAAGGACACAGTCTCATTAAAGACAGGCTGATACGCAACTGCAATGCAGACATTAAATAGCAGTATTTTTCAATTAACGCTGACAAATTCAATCAAAATTCCATAGATTAGGATGAAATGAGGCATGGGTCATTTACAAGGGGATTTAATTGCACCACCATTAGACAAATAGTACAGCAGTCACCGTTCCATTATCAATCATGTGTAGGCATCAATAGTACAGGGAGAGGATGGGGGATGGGGGGTGCTTTCTGATACGCTGCGATTGAACCAGCACCGCAGAGCAGCTAATAAATACCCTCTTTTGTACTTATAAATTATCCAGTTTAATTAACAACATGGATTATGATTGGAATATGATTTAATTAAACCTTTCCTGCATGGTGGAGTGCAGAATCATCCATTATGTAGAAGCAAGAGGGAGCGTTACCGTGGGCTAAATTAAGAAAGGCCCAGAAACACTGACAGCCAGCCCCTGAAGCTCTTCTGAACGGGACAATAACTGCAACTGTGTAGTGATAAGATGGGGAGAAGTTCTGCGCTTTAAAGCCCAATATACATGCTTTTAATTGTGTAGCATACAGATGGAGGACTGGAGAAAATGCCCCACATCTAAGAAAGGTGTACTCAGTGAGCAAACCAATTAAAGACCTCTTATTGCTACTCGATGCAGTTTTGCAGGGGAAATGGATTTTGAAATGTTGCCTGCAGCATTTGACCATTCAACATTATTTAGTTACTGTGTCTCAGGCTCAACCTTTTCATCAAGATCCAAATGTCAGCTATAATTTATTCGGCACAGTTGGCCTCTCCCAATGAAAACATGAGTCGTTGTTTCCCTCTCTCTGATCCGGTCGCATTAGGAAAGGGCATAGGCTCCAACACTTTCATATATATGTTTAATTTGCTCTCAAATTGTTTTGGTCATAGACAAACGGCTATTCAAACCTGACCTTCGATTTCAAATTATGAGATCTATTTGAAATCAATTGATTAACCTTTAAATGATCCCCTGATGATAGGAGATCAGACCCATTCAAGGGCTGGCCATGCGTGACTGGTAGGGAGCTCTGGTTCTCCCTGAGGCTCAGGGCTAAGCACAAAGATTGATCTATCTCAGTCAACCGGTCCTCAGGGCTCCACACTATTGTTAGTCAATAACCACTGAGTTTAGGGCTGCTCTACATCCATACACTCACAGCAAATTCGTGCTACTCACTGATAAGTAGGTTACAAGGCTAAAAGCCCCCTTAAGGAACTTAAGAAAGTACACAATGAATGAAAAATGTATTTATTAAATATTGATGGAGAAACAGGAAAAAATGGCAAAAGAAGAACATAAAATACCACATTAAGTTAATAAGTTTTATGTAATGTGCTTAATTCTGCGTTCATTTAAACACTTTTGGCATCTCATAAGAACTATACATTTTGCTTTCAGCAAAGTACCGTGCAACAGAGCTGCATTGTTGTTATTTCCCTAATGACTCTCCATTGTGATTGGAGCAATGTGAGCACACTCTGCACATCATTCACACCAAACCTATTCCTTCCCAATTACAGAAACAATTAGTTACACTACAGGTATTTTGCATCTGCCTCTTCTGTAAACCTAACAGCATTTTTGGTGACATTTTTGGCCACAGCAAGTCTTTTTACTCCAAAGTCTATCCTTCCAAGTTTTAAAAGTTACTAAAACTATTGATTTCACTAAAACAAAAATGTCATGGATCAGAAAACGCTCTCAGTGCGTTGAGACAAACCGATGTTAAAAAGGGGTTTGAAAGAAGTACTTATTACAGAAATTATATACTTTAAACTAATGTGTAAGTGCAAAATAAATTGTATGTTTTCAGACACTTAACTGCATATTACCTGAAATATTGAATAAAAATGTATTTTAGTTAAAAATTAAAAAATAAATGCATTTAGTTGTGCTTAGGTCTTACTTACACGGGCCAAAAAGTACATCTTTATTAGTAATTTGTTTTTGAAAAAAGGATTAAAGTGTACTGTTGAATGTACTGATGAGCATTTATGGTAAAATAAAATATACCTTAATGTCCTTTCTTTTGAAACTAATAGGTGTATTTAAGTGTGTTAAGAAACAGTCATGAAAGTGTACCTTCTTTAAGTTCACTTAAGTAGCCCTTCATTTCATTAATGTTATATTATCTGCAAATACGCACACTTTTTTTTTCATAAGGGTCAGAAAGTGTCGTAATTTTATGTTGCAATTTAGTGTTTTGGGAGAAAAACACCCAAAAAAGGATTTTAGCCCCATTGTATCATACTTGCCCTATCTTAATATTGCTTACTTATCAATCAAAAAATGGTCGACAAGAATTCCATTCAAGTCTTTGCAGAGAGAAGCAATAATACAAACACTGTCTGGCAAGTGCAGGCTGAATGGAGTGTAGAAGGCAGGTCAGTGTCACAGCTACACTAGGCATGTGCTTTACATCGGTTCAGACTCCCACTTGATTATGTCATTTGGTTTTGTGAGACATATATTTACATCTAAAGACACATTTTCATTGCCAGTTATACTTGGTAAATAGACACAAACCTCAACACAGTATCCCTACAATAAAGTGCAATTCAAACATCATTCCAATTTTAATATGCCTCACATTAAAGGGATCACACCACGACACAAGTGTGTACCATGGTCCGATTCATCTTGCTTTATTAAAGTGAGGAAATGAGGTGAGGCGTCAGTGCTTTGCACCCCCAGGGCACGTTCAAGACAGATGAACAACAGGGGCAAGCACAATGATAGCACAGGATTAGCACCCCACACACACTGGAGCTCTGTTCAAACACACAAAGCAGCAGAGAATGGCTTTACAAATCCTCAAAAGCAACATTCTGATACTGTCACCATCAGTCTGCCAAAAGCACCTCACACATGCAGTCTTGTACGGCTCAAGGAAATCAATACTGCGACGAAGTGCATCCATAAAAGACCGCCATAAACATGCCAGCTCATTCAGCCCAGTCACCGGACTCAGGAAACCGACACTAAGAATTGACAGCATGCTGCCTTATTTTTTTAAATGATTTTTATGTATATTATTTTTTTTGTGTAAAGAAAGTTGTAAAACTTCCCATAAGTTATGTGTTCATGTTAATCAATGACAATTGACAGAATTTATAGCATCTCAGCAGGCTTTCTTATTTAACTTAATTTTAAGGAAAGAAAGAAAGAAAAAGAAAAAGAAAATATAATAGCTGACCAGATGGCGAGGGTTGTAACACTTTCCAGTGTACTTGATGCACATGAAAAGTGCATTTGCCACAGTGGTTATTTAAACATACTACACACACATTGTTATATTTTGAGTCACTAGATTATGTTTTATGTATTTCTTTTATATTATTGTCCCATTTTATTTGCTATTTGTCTTTTTATTTTATTATATTTTTTTAAATTAAAAAGCTTAAAATTAAAAGAAAGAAGAAAGAAAGAAAGAAAGAAAGAAAGAAAAAGACTGCATAACAATAACAAGTAAATGTGTCCACAATAAATTCATGCACAAAATGCCAATCGGTTTAACTGGTCTTAGTAAGTTAAGTAACAACCACTCTTTGGACATTGTACACAAATTTACACCTCCACTTGGGAATGAATAAACTGTTTTTAACCAGATATGTATAAGAATATTATTTCAAATACTACTTTGAGTTACTACGGATCAATGCGTTACAACACTGCTCTTCTCCCTAACTATTGTACAGTACATAGAAGACTTAGCCTACTGTTCCAATCAGTCAGATTAATCCACAGCGCCGCCTGCAGGTCATGATAAAAAATACAAATTTGTTTCAGTCACGGTCAGTAGCGTTCAGATTAGTTTATAGAGCCACATTGTATAGACTGATATAGCCTGTACAATATAAACTCTCACATGAACACAATTTCTACATGTTAAAGAACTGTGAAGAATTAGATTAAGAACAGAAACGAGAACTTTGAAACCACAAATTAAATATCCTCAATTGTCTTGCCCCTACCAT